TGTTGATTGCGTGGGCGAGCCAGATGAGGCGCCAGGTGGACTGGAACTTCTTGTACTCGTCTACCGTTGGGCTGGATGTGCCGTCACGCTTCTGGGAGCGGATGCGTTGACGTTTCGCCTGTTGGGCGGCGGCCAGCTCGATGAGGTAGGCCGCGAACAGATGGCCCGGGATCAGGAAGTAGAGCCCCAGTCCCATGTACAGGTCATGCTTGCGAAAGTCATGGCACTTGATGCATATCAAGACTCCGTACTGCGAGCTGCATGTCAGCAATAGATCTCGGAGATAGGGGGTTCCTCCTCAGACTTTCCATCTCACTCACTTTCTGTATGTTCTCAATGACGAGACGAAGATTACCGACAACTATACGGAAGGATCAGTAAAGTTGCGATCGATCTAGAGAGACAGCCGTGAGACTGGGACATGGTGCTCACCAAGCACAATCACCATGAGGTTGCGGAAGCCCAAGAAACTAGGAGTTGCCGGGGCATCATGACTGAGGGTTGACGGCCTCGTCTGCGAGTGAACGGCAGCAACGTGTCGGTACTTCTTAATGAAGGATTTCCTCAATTGAATTGTTGCTTCATCCACGACCTTTTTGCCATTGGTGTTGCTGGCGGCAGCTGTGCCGTTGGTCCGGTGGACGACGCCGTTGGCTGAGCCGTTAGCGTGGCTGATGATGTCAGGTTGGACGCCCGTCACCGTGGCCGTGCTGTTCATCTCGGTGGCATGAGGTGCGAACCAAAGTGTAGAGTATCGAATGACGAGTAGGGATGAGGGCAGTTCGACTCTCAAATCTGAAGATAGCTTCCGGGCACAAGCTAATGCTCTCAGAATTCTCACTATCAGATGTTTGTTGTAGACGGTCGTAATGTAAGCGGGCCGAGAGTATGCGCCACTCGAGAATGCTTGGTATTCGTAGACAAGTTTGCAAGCAGCGAAGGGCTTTGTTTAGCCTCGGGTCGGATTGGCCGAGATGAACTTCGACAGAGGAGATTCCACAATAGCACAAGCCAGCGACTCCTTTTGCTCTTATATATCCTCTGATGTGTTGTGAAAAGGGGAGAATAACAAGGGCGATCAATGGCGACTCGAAGACATTGATGAGAATGAGAGAAACGCCTCAATTGCGCCAACAGGGAGAAGTTATATACCTTGATGGCATGAGAACGACAGCTTGTATGGAGCCAAGCAGCCCCTCAAGGGGTCCAAGGCCAGACATTGATACTGTTGATAATGCCAATTGATTGATAAGAATTCCATAAAACAGCCCGTGAACCAACCCTGTCTAACAAGTGTCATGCAATTGGAATGAGTACGAGCATTTGAGCGACTGAATGCTGCTCGTTTGAACGTAGCGACCATGCAAGCAATATCACAAGCCAATCGCTGTCAAGCTCTTGTTCTGGCCAAGCCAAGGTGTGGCGGCCGGGGAGCGCTCCGCCCTCGGTGTGGAGTCAGGAGCCGGGAAAAGCCGCCATGCGAAGTCCCGTCCACCTCAGTTCTGGCACTGGCAAGCCGGCCCGCCAGCTGGTCGCTCAGCAATAGGCAAGACTTGGCAAAAGGAGCTCGGGCCATCAGTTTCACTCGCTTTGTCCTTCTCTATTCGCGATAACTCAAGCGCGACTGAATGAATAAAAGACCTTCAAAAAAAGAAAGTCCGTTTAACCACATCATACAATATTTACTGCCGTGATATCGAAAACTCGAACTGCAGTCATTTAGTCAGCTGTATTGTTTTGACCTGGATTTCCAGCTCATGCCGGCGACTGGCCGGTAGCATTTGCTATGGCGTACGATGGTGGCCGTGAGAAGGGCTTTGATGGAGGAGGCGGTGGTCATGGCGGATATGACGGTCCCCCACGGGCAAGAGGCAGACGTGCGTCTACCTCACCGATGGACAATCCTTTAACAATGTTCATCTGATCCTAACTTCTGTGTAGGCCCCGTGACGGACTATGGCGCATCGGTCGTCCACTGGATGCTTCACCGTCAGCCAAGATATAGAGGCTCATATAAGGGAGAAGTTGAGCGACCCAGCCAGAGCTACATAATCGACGTCAGTCCAGTCGTTCTTGATTTACTGCTCCAATACTGACGAATGGCCAGATGCTTCCGCCTCATGCACGAGTTACCAGCCCAGCAGACTCAGTGCCCTCTCGTCACCTTCATTCATCACTAAACAAGATCAAACATCCCATCAACGTCGTCAAATGGACACCGGAAGGGCGAAGGCTTCTCACAGCCAGCAGCAGCGGCGAATTCACGCTATGGAACGGCACGGGGTTCAACTTCGAAACCATCATGCAGGCTCACGATGCCGCAATCCGTGCTCTAGCATACTCTCACAGCGACGACTGGCTGGTATCTGCAGACCACGACGGCATCATCAAGTACTGGCAGCCAAACTTCAATAACGTTGAGAGTATAAGGGGACATAACGATCCGATCAGGGACCTAGCGTTCAGCCCGACAGATTCAAAGTTCGTCACCGCTTCCGACGATTCAACTCTGAAAATCTTTGACTTTGCCGGGGGAAGTGCGGAGACTACACTCAGTGGCCATGGATGGGATGCTAAAAGCTGTGACTGGCATCCAACAAAGGGTCTCATTGTTTCGGGGTCGAAGGACCATCTGGTCAAACTATGGGATCCAAGAACAGGCCGCTGCCTGACGACTCTACACGGCCACAAGAACACAATCACCAAAACCTCCTTCGAACGTGTACGCGGTATGTGCTTAGCCACATCAGCAAGGGACCAGACTGCCAGAGTATTCGACCTCCGGATGATGAAGGACATTTGTCTCCTCAGGGGTCACGAGAAGGACATCTCCACCCTAACCTGGCATCCAGTACACTCCAACCTTTTGAGCACAGGCGGCTCGGAGGGCTCCCTCTTCCACTACCTTCTCGACGAACCGAACACCCCACCTGGTCACTCCCACACGATAGCGCCATACGACAGCCCCGACCCATCCAACACCCCCGCACAGCCCATATACCCAGCCCACAAAGTCCCCTTCGCCCACGACTTCGCTATCTGGTCGTTAGACTGGCATCCACTGGGCCATATCCTCGCCTCCGGCTCCAACGACCGTATCACACGATTCTGGGCAAGAGCGAGGCCAGGCGAGGCCGACGGCGGCTTCAACGACAGGTACCACATCGGCGAGGCGGAAGCCGAGGCAAAGGGCACCTGGGACCGCCGCGGCGGACGGAGACAGCGTCAAGAGGAGGAAGAGCAAGAGATGGAAGACGAGATGGACGGCCTCGTGGACCAGAAGATGCCCATCAAGCAGCCGGGTGGCGTGCCTGGACTCTCTTCCATTCCCGGTCTCCCCTTACAACAAGAACAGCGCAACGGCGCCGCCCCGCATCTGCCACTCATACCAGGTGTCGGCGGTGCGCCGCCTCTTCCCTTCCCCCTTCCCGGTATGAACGGGGCACCACCTCTGCCCTTCGACCCAGCGAACCCACCGGACCTGGCCGCGCTCGCAGAGATGATAAAGAAAGCCGGCCTGCCACCACCACCCATGCCCGGCTTTCCTCCCCCACCTGGGTCCGTCCCGCCCGGATTCCCGATGCCCCCCGCTGGGTTTCCTCAAATACCTCCTGGATTCCCTCCGCCGCCCGCGCCGCCCGCGGGGCTCAACTACGATGATCAGCCTGGCGGCGCTGCTGGAGGGAGGAGACGCGCGCCGCTGCCCAGTCAGGAGGAGAGTTTGCGGGCTGAGCAGAAGCATGGTCGGTATGATCGTATTCGCTAGGGAAGGGGGTACGCGATTGGGTTCGGTTGGCACTCGTTCTCGGAAGTCAGGAAAGTCAGTGAAGACACGGCGGGGTTGATCATTCCCGGCTTCGTCGATGGTCCGAGATGGGGTGTGGACGGTCGGGGTACACGCATGGTGGTCGAGAGTTGAAGCGACGGCTGTTTGCTTAGGGGGCGCTAGGGCCAGCACCTAGGAAGGCAAATGGCAGGGCGTTGGTGGTGGTTGGGAATTGCAGAGGAGGGGATCCCGCGATGTAGGTCTATAGGATATTGAGTCGCCTGACGTTGCTGAGCTTGGTGTTGAAGAGCCGTCTACTTGGGCAAATAATAAACACTGAAGCATTTCTTCCTACTATTGGATACTGGCTGAAAGGACATGCCGGACCGCCGAAAACGTCCATTCCTTTCACTGACACTCTTGAGAACTTCTTGGAATAACAGTGCCGGAGGTGGTTGTTCAAAATGGGTTCTTAATCTGATTCACACTGACACTCTCCAGTTGCTCGACAACAAATCTTACATAAATATCTCTCCTCGCTTCTTCTGCCTCTGAGCCTCGTCCATGTTCCGTGTGACATTCAAACATCCACCATTCAACCCACCTCCACCCAAGTACATCGCCGTCCAAAGTCATGACTCGTACCGTCCCATTCACTTACGTCTCCCTCCACTTGCATGCATCCCCAAGCAAGCCGGCCTTCTAATCTATCCCAATGGCACAGCACAACTATCAGACGGGACCATGGCGCAGTTGGCTAGCGCGCAGGTCTCATACCCCCTGGTATGATCAAGTCGATACAACGACTCGAGTAATCCTGAGGTCGGGAGTTCGAGCCTCCCTGGTCCCACATGATGTTTATTTCACTTTTATTTTTTGCACCGTGGATCTTCTCCCACATGTGACTGGATGCCATCCCTTTTGCATGTGTGTTAACCAGCCTGTTTTCTCTGAGCGTCGCTGCGCCTTGGGTGTTACTCCCAGAGAGCACGTCGACTTCCCCATGCCGTCATAACTTTTGCTTCTTGTCCCTTTCCCCTTTTGCTTGCGTCACTTCCTCTCGCTGCATGCCAAGTCACCCCAACTCTTCCAAGTCCGTCCGGTAGGAGGTTGTGCGTGCCCCCTCCCCTCCCTCGTGCAGCTCCAGTGGATCAACAAGCCCCCTCACCCCCATCACCACACAAACCCCAAGACACCGAATTGGCGAGTCAGCCTTCATCGCAACGACAAATCAGCCTGTTTGGCGCAGTGGTAGTCGCGTCTCACTTGTACTCTCCAGTTTCTACAAGGGAAATGAGAAGGTCGCTCGTTCAATCCGGGCAATAGGCATTTGCTTTTTGCCCGTCATGGCTCCTGAGTTGGGTTTTGTCATGGTGGTGGTGAGGATGCTGGTTGATGTTGTGCTATCAGGTTTGTATGTAAGTGGATGCTGGCGGGGTTACCTTCTGCTCCGAGGCAGAAGGCTAGGTAGGGAGCCACGGAATAAGAGGAGGTACTCGGTAGACCTGACTTCGATGCAAAGCCAAGAATCCGTATGGTGATTGATACCCGAGACTTATCAAGTTATGTCCTTATGGAAGAAAGTAGCGGTCGGCGGAAGAGAAAGGGGGTGAGTGAGCATACTGTGAGAGAGCTACCCGAGACGTCTATAGGGTAGGATGAGATACATTGCCAGCAGTTTACTGGAACGAGATAACATAGCGCGATGATACGGGAGTGAGCTCTTCGTTGTTCCATGGAGTTAGCCGATCATTGCCTTGCAACACCGGTCAAGGTTTGACGAAGTAGGTGACTTTGAATGTGTGACGATGGAGTCTCGATCATTTTTCTCGAAGCCCCTGTCTCGTGAATCCACGATGACTCACTGGGTATACCCCTATTGTCGCCCAGGGCTGCTTCCCAACGTCTTTTCAAAAATATGCTCCTCTCGTTTGGTTCTAGTAGCTGGTCCAAGAGACAAGGTGACGATAACCGGGTATTTCATACAATGTCCGCCTCCGCCGTATCCCCTCCAGTATGCCTCCTATCTCCATATGTCTCTCGAATGATAAACCGATACGCCGTGCCACCCACACACCCAATCACACACACGACTTGCTACACCTCATCACAAAACTGTTCAACCATACGCCGCGGCCAAAGCGTCCTCATCATCCTCATCAGCAGCACTACGCCTAACGGTAGCTGACGAGGGTGCCCCGGACCCAGACCCCTTGGTGACAAAGTCACTCATAGACGTCGGCTTCTTCTTGATAGCCGACTCCGCACTGTAAAGCTTGTTGTAGAACCCGACCACCCGCGGGTGTGCCATGACCTTGTCCTTCTGGAACCTCAGCACCTGCAGGCCCTCCTGGGTCGTCGCCCGACTGAGCGCGACGTAGGCCTGTCCCTTCTCGAAGATGCGGCCGAGATCGACCTTAACGCGCTCCAGCGTCTGGCCTTGCGCCTTGTGGATGGACAGCGCCCAGGCCAGGATAAGGGGTATCTGCTTGCGAGACGCCTGGAGCTCGCCCGTCGGCGTCTCGACCTTCCATTCCTCCGGTATCATGAGCAGGACCCTCTCCGTACCGTCGACGGCGTGAAACTTCACGAGGGGGTACTCCGTATTATCGTTGGCCGAGGACGTACTCCGCTCCAGCTCCCGGCCGAAAGCCTTGATCCGCTTCTTCACCTTTTCGTCGGCGTCGGCGTCGGAGCCGTAGCCGTCCACGCCGCCGTTCAGCTCGAAAGTCGTCTCGTTCATAAACTTGACGACAGTTCCGAGAGAGCCGTTGACGAGGGAATCGTCGAGGTTCTTGATGAGCATCACCTGAGCCCCGACTTTGAGGTCGAGGCTTTTGGGTGCCATCATGTTCTGCAGGAGCTTCTCCCGCAAGTTTGGATCCGTGCCGCCGGTATCCAGCGCCTCGTAACGGTGGAGCTTGCCCGGGAGCGCTCTTAACCGCCGCTCATTGGACGAGTCGACTTCGTTTCGTGTTGGGAAGCTTGGTGGAAGTCAGCAGTCGGCTCCGTAGCGATGATGTGAATGGACTTACAGCTCCGTCACCTCGAGACCGTCGTCAAACTGAAGCGGTCTGCTCAGACTCCTGAAGTTCTTCACTGTCTGCTCGCTGATCCTACCCAGCCGCATCTCGTTCAGCATGTCGGCGAACACTAGAATCGGTTAGTATGGATGGACACCAATAGTGTTGGGGTCTGGACTCACCAGGATCTCGTTGACGGAACACCTCCGTCAAGCCAATGGTATGATCGATTGAGGTCTTCCAGGTAGCAGCTTCAAAGGCGAACTTAGCTTGGGCCTGCTTGCCGTCTGGAACAGGCGGCAGTTGGAAGAAGTCGCCCGTGATCACGAGTTGGATACCACCCCATGGCCGACCATCGTTGCGGATGGTCCTGCCTATCTGTGACAGCTTGTCAAACAGGTCGCCGTCAACCATGGACACCTCATCCATAATAAGGACTTTGGTGCGCAGCCACCTGTTCTTGGCTTTGGGGTTACGGCGGATCTTCTTGACCAATGTCGCGACGTCCTCTTTGCCTAGACCGATGCCGGAGAAGCTGTGCAAGGTCATGCCGCCGATGTTGCAGGCAGCTAAACCAGTCGAGGCCGTAACTGCCACCCTTTCAGGGTCCCTGGCGTGCTTCCGCTTCATGTCCGAGATGATAGTCCGCATCAGAACCGATTTGCCTGTTCCAGCAGGACCTGTGAAGAAGACGCTTGCGCCTTTCTCCACCACAAGCTCCCTGACTTGCAGCTGTTCTCGACTCAAGGTGATGGCTGCCGTCTTCGCGGGTTGCGACTTTGATGGTGCATGGGATGCCGGCGTCTTTGATCTCTCGGATCTCTCGTTGGGGTTCTCGAATGGTTTCCGTTGTTGTGTCTTCAACTGCTTCTTCTGAGCCTTGACTGCACTGGCAGATGCGTTCCACATCGCATCCCTGGACGCGTTCGAAGTATTCTTCGACACCACCGCAACCTCCTCGTCTTCGACTTGTTTTTGTGCCTGCCAGTTGTGTGGTAGGGTCCGCTTCTTGGCCGGAACAATGGGAGAGGAATCTTGCTCCGGGGCGTCACGTTTGTTCAGGCCTCGGGTAGCACTGGGTCCGGAGGGGAACAGCTGGCCAGGTGCCAAATGCGAGGGCGAAGACTGAGACCAAGAAAGCGTACTCGTGTGTGTTGCAGGTGGAGGTTCATCGTTGCTGTTGGCTTCCTGTTTGGTCGGAGGCTGCAGAGTGGGTAAGCTGACAACGGGTATATGGATATCGTCGAGGTCGAGATCGTCATCGAAGTCGTCGTCGTTGATGAGAACTCCCGCTACGTATCTCGAGCTTGTTCCTCCTTGTGACAGACCTTGACTTTCATCACTGACCAAGTCAATGACATTGTTGGCTTCCTGGAACGAACTCTGCTTGTATAGCGATGCGAATTTGGCCTGGCCGGTCTTCACCACAGCGGCAGGAGGGTGAGCAAAAGTAGCGGATGGGCGTGCGTTTGGAGACCGTTGCCTTAGGGGTGCCTCTGTCTTGTTTGGCTGGCGGGACGACTGTGAACCGAAGAAGGAGTATGCAGGCTTCTTGAAATGCTCTTGTATGTTCCCATCGTGGCTGGCACTCGGGCTGCTCGAGGAGAAAAGATCTTTGGCGACGAGCGGCTTCTTCTTCGGAGGCACGGATGACTTCTCGGCCACAAACTTGCTGTTCGCTTGCTTAAACATCGGAACTGCTGGGTTCAGGGCTGACCGGATGGCGAGGTCGTGGACATGAGCGGCGCGGACTCTCGTCCAGTGCCCAATGTCTTTCCGAGTTGCTCTGGTTCGAAGGGCGAGTCGACTGGGAATTCCAGATAGTCCAGTCGACATGTATGGGTAAGGTAGGTGATCGTGTGGGGGTTGATTTGTTGATTTGGGCGGGAGGTCAGAATATCGAGGCCATTTGCACGATTGGGGCAGTCACGTTTGGTCGCGTCTGCAAAATCCCCCTTGTCGCGTTCACGCCCCGGCCGCCAGAAGCAAGGCCCCACCCTGATCTGACAGAACCCCACCCATATATTCGTTGTGTAAATCTACTAGACTTATGTAATCACTACATGTAATGAGGCTCCCCACGATCATTTCCTCGATGCTGTTTGCTCGAAACCACGAAGAGACGGGACGTTTACATTCACCGATGACCTAAAAAGTTGCCGCTGCATCCATATGACAGGACAAGGAATCTTACTGCATGATGCGCAGAGTGATATAACGCTTTGTAGCAGTGTGCGTTGGGCTGTTGGACATGCCTTCCAGCAACAAATGCTTCGCAGCGCAGACCCGCATAGCTGGTGGACGATGCACGTGGTCGGATCCGGCAGTCATGGCCCCTGCCGGACCAGTGATATGCGTTGCATGACAGGCCTGGCCGTGACACATGCAGTCCAGCGCGAGCCCGGTTGAGGGAGTCCGTGGGAGAAGGAGGCTCTTTCGGCGGTCGGAGGACGGCACATGACCGGGAGCGGTGACGCGGGACCCCCACGCGGTGACCGGACCGGCAGGATGCCCTGCACCGCGGAGCCAGTCCCGACGGTTCCTCTCAGCCACCGGAAAACCCCAGTGCAACGCTGCGCTCCCAAAAGTGCTGAACCCCAAACCACATCGCATGGAGCTGCCTCAACAAGACATTTTGTTGTCAACAACGCCGAATTCCTCCCACGAGAAAGATTGTCGTCAAGGTCCCGTGAGCACAAGCACAGATGCCACAGAACCTCAATTGACAGACCACGACCGATTAATTTGCGGCCGAGTTCGAATCAGAGTAGATTGCCAAGATGCCGAGCCTGCACGAAGCCAGGAAATGAGGAAAGCGATAATTATCGCCGCGACAAGAGCCGTTGCATGTGACGTCGGTTCCCTTCCGTCTCTTCGCGAGACAGGGCATCGTCATCGATTACCCCAAAGTCAGCAAGCAGAAGGGCCCTTCTCAGTTTTGCGCTGAACCGAAGAAGTAGGAGTGATGAATCGCGTCTGTCGTGTCCGCCAAAATTGTCACCACGAGCTTCCAAGACGAGCCACGGCGAAGACCGGGGGCCCCATCTCCACCCGGCGCTCGGCCGCAATGTGCCGTGCAAAGTACTTTTGATGTACTTCTGTCCGCTCGAGATGTTAGAGATGAGGTTGGGGGTCGTTGAATATCATTGCTTCGACTGACAGCTTTCTCCGCGATGGCGGATCAACACACCTCACCTGCATACTCTTACTCAGACATATTGTCTGGGGTTGGAAGTTTCGACATCCAAGTATCGAGCATGTACACTCCGGAGCAGGCGAAGCTTTGTGTGTCTCGGTCGTACGCGT